GACCTGGCAATATACTTTTGTTGATGTTGATAATGACACAGTTTATTGATCACTTCAATTCGCAACAGATTTGTCATTCTTAGTTTAAAGAACATGCAGATGAGGCAAGAAATCTTTTAATAACACTTGTTAATGAAGGTGTTTTCAAAAATTTTCAGGTTAATTTTTCTAGCCATTAAAATGTTCAAGTTTATGTAATAAATGTGTAATATTTATTAATAAAAACAATATCCAATATTACCAGGAACTAGAGACTACTAGGAATTACTGAGCTAGCTCTCATTTTTTAGGAACCAACAATCAAGCATCTCAACATTCACAAGCCTGGGGCAGTAAACCATACACGTTTTATGGCAGTAAGTATTTACTGATCTGAAGAGTTCGCAATATCATGCTTCCTTATAATTTGACAAAGCAAGTCCTGAACTTGAGACAAAAGGAAGATAAAGAATGTGGAAGAGATGGCAACATATATTTCAATTTTTTATTCTCCTAAATTTCTCAGAGCTGGGAATTTAGATACAGCTGCAATCAAGAATAGTTTTTTTAGCCTTTGATTTCATAATGTTATAAATAAACTCATTATTAGCATTATTATTCGATAAGATAATGTTAAAAATTATTGAAGTATTAACTGTACAGGACCAGCTCTTTGTTCTGGCAGATTCTCCATCGGAAAATGTTTAAATTAGATGCAGCGTCAGCTTTCAAAATTTGGAAATACCTTCAGTGGTTGATTATGTAAGAGCGAATTCATGGCTATTATTTGATATTTTTGAACAGACTGTTTTCAAGCATGATCTAGACATATAATTTCTCAAATCTTTGGTTAAGTGTAGCAAGAGAAACAATTTTTTTTTATTTGAAAAAATCAAAGTTATATATAAAAAATAAAGTAAAACACAAATAAGTTTTTTTTAAACGAAGTATTTTTTTTTTCATAAATAAAATATTATAAAAAGACTGCAGAGTCGTTTTCAATGTTTTGTTTTTGAAATAATTCATATAAGTATTTTATTAAAATCTTGATATCACTTTCATATGGTTTTTAATAAAAAGTCTATTTTCTTTCTTTGCTTGAAATTACTTTTAAAACGTCTTCAACAAGAAAGTCAAATTTTCACTCTCATAAGAATAAAAAGTTATTACAAATTAGGAATTACTATAATTACATTTATAAAGAATAATTTGGAAACTTTATTTTTTCACGTAAGGATTTATTTGTTTTTTCTAAAAGAAAGTAAACAATAATAAAAAGTAGGGTACGAGATTTTATAGGGGGTGAGTGAGGCAGTTTTTCAAAATTTTAAAAACCTTTTCTCCCATGTATTATTTACGCAAGAGTATAGTTTCATGTTAAGTGTGTGTCAGTGGAGATAATATTTATTTTTTTGCATCATAAATAGGTTTCTGTCATGTATGGAAGAGAATGCAACTTATTTTTGCACTTTTTTTTTTATGCTTCATTAAAATTAATATTAAAAAAGTTACAAGTAAATTTCTGGTTGAAAAATAATAATTTGATGGAAAACTTAAAAAAAGTTTTGATGTTAAATTCATTTATAACGGTTTTTAAACCATGTCAATTTACTCGAAAGAATAGTTTAAAATATTTTTGTTCAAAAATATTTCTAAAGAGTGGTTTAAAAATAAAATAATAAACTTTATTATTTTACCAATTTTATAAAACAGTAACTTTTACTTTCAAATTAATTTTCAAAAATCTTTTTAATAAGAAGTTTTTTTGATATTAAGTTTTTTTATTTTTTGAAAAAATTGTATTTTGTGACTTACGCCCTTTTAACGAAAACCGATTCATTTAAATTTAAATGCACAACTCTTGTTTGACATAGTTTCTGTTATTGGAAACCATCTCTTAGACATTAAAAAGTTTTGGTATTTGAAAAACCAAACCATCTATATTTGAAGCAAATATGATTAAACTAACTCGTAAAAAATTTGAATCACTCATTCCTTTCCCTTAAAATGACATATTTGAAACAAAAAAACGGACCTTAAAATGACTAAAAACTGCTTAGTTTAGAGCAAGACTAACATTAATATTTTTTATATTTTTATATAGGGCATATAAATATATGAATTTTTGATTAAAATTTCCCTTATAAAAATATTGCAGTTTATATTTTAATAATCTTTGATTTCTTTTATTCTTTACTAAATTGTTTATCAGTTATATCAATTGTTTATCAAGGTCAAGATGTCCTTGTGTTGGGCGTTGAGGTTACAAGTCACCTTGTGGTATACATCGTTTCTTGCAAAACAATTGCATAAATATTCTTTCTTCACTTTGTTTAGGATAAATTAAATTAGTATAATATTTGAACTAAAACTTAAATCTGTTGTTATCAAATAGCAGTTCAATAGTAGTCAAAACAGCATCAAATTCATTCAAATTTGAAGTCTGCACTGTAAAATGTAATTTTAAAAATATTATATTTATTATATGTGTTTTTATATTTAATAAAAAACTATCAATCGCATATATATTTGGAAAAAAAAACGCTAAAGTAATACGTTCGTTTTTATTAATTTTAAACAAACGCCAATGTTTGCATAAGCAAAATTAAAGAAAAGTGACGTTCGTTTTTCTTCCTGTTTTTTTTTTTAACAAACGTTTGCATGTTTACAAGAACATACACTTAACAAGTGTCATTTATTGCAGCATGAAAAAATTCTTTAGACGAACGTTGTTTACTGCATATGAAAACAGTTATATATTATCTTTTTGTAATAGAATGCAGGCATTTTAAGAATTATTACAACAAATAAAAATTCTACAATAAAAGTGAATAATATATCAAAGTAATTGATATATAAAATATAATTAATTACATAAAATAAAAATTATTATTCAGCAATTTAGTGTAATAATTTTTTTAACAGTTAAATAATTTTATATTTGCCAATATAATTAAAAGTGCAGCAAGTTTTTGTTAAGAGTTCAATCTTATTAAAAACATTTACAATTAAATCGGCGCTCTTTTAATTTTTTTTTTGTTTAGTCGAACGACCATATCTTTTAAAAAGCAGTTGATAAAAAAATACAGTTAAATAAATTTTTTTTTTTTTTTTTTTTAATGGTTTAGTGTTTTCAATTTTAGTTACAATGATCCGGGGCTGTAGGAACAAAAATTATATAACAATTTTAAAAAGTAGGTTGTATGTAAAATTATAATAAGGTTTTTTCGGTTTTAATCTTTTCGTTTTAAGAACCTGCTACCGCTATTGTGCATTTGGAAATCGGTTGCGATGGTTACAAAATCATATTATAAGCGAAACGTTTGTTTTCAATATTTACTGTTTTTTTCGAATTTATTAAAAGATTTTTTGAAGTTCGATGATCGAGTTTTAAATTTATAAAACTCACTTTTCAATTTATTTTCTTAAAATGCTACGGTATCATTTTGTTTATCATTGTTTATTAAAATTCACACTGGTAACAAAACTTTTTAAATTTTGTAAGTATACTTCAGTTTTATAATCAATTTTTTCTTTTCATTTAAAAAGTTTATGTTTTGGAACTAAAGTCGAATTGTTATAAGGCGATACGACGACAATGACCTCTTGAATATAATTATGAAAACAATTTTTTTTTTTTCATTTTTGTTTATTTTGTTGATAAATTTAGTAAATTTTTTTAAACAAAAAAAATGCAAGAAAAGATAATATTTAAATTTAATATTTTTGATAATAATTTGATTTCAAGATATAAGCTGATTCTATTCTAAGACTGTAATTTCAAGCGAATTTAATTTTATTCGTTTCATTCGATTTAATAAACATGTAAAATATTCCCACAATATAGTTCAATAATTTGTAAATAGACAGTTCGTCCAAGTTTTAATACTCTTGTGACACTATTGCCATTAGTAGTTTTTTTTTATGTTCTCACCGTAAGTTAAATTTTCTCATTAGAACTTGGGTTCATTTGGTCACTCGTAAAGAGAAATATTAATTTTATAAAATGATAGTGAAAGTAAAACTTTTCTTTAAAATGACTGTTACATGAATTACAAAATTTTAAAACAAAATTTTATTTGTCTATCCAAAAAACATGCATTCGATATAATTTATATAAAAATTTAAATTTAATTGAATAGATTATTGGTTCTTCTCAGCTGCATTAGTTGCTTTTTTTTATATTTTAGTAATATATATTTTGTAGCCTTGTTCAAGAAGCGCTAATTGCATTAAAATTTAATTTATGAGTTGTATAAAAAATGCATTTTTTTATTGATTTTCTTCAAAGTTTCAAATCGACGTCGAAATCGAATCACCAAATATTTGAACCCTCACTCTTTGACGTTTTTCATATTTATTTAATTAATTTGTTTTAAAAAAGATTGTCAAAGGAGATTTTCGATGTAAATTCTAAATTTGAACAAGTTCTGTAGAAATTCGGCCTATAAATACATTGAGTTCTTTACAAATTTGCATTTAAGTAAAACAGGTTTTCCTTTTTATCATCTTATGTAAATAAAATAATGATATTTATTTAAAATAACAATATGAATAAATAAATTTTTTTTTCTAAGTTAAACACATTTTTAATCTGTTTTATGTTATTTTAAGTAAAAAATGTATTTTATATATGTATATTATTGGTTATTAAAAATTATAAACACAGCATTTATTATAAAATTTATTAATATAAAAATTATGTTCAAATTAATAAAATTAGTATATTTTTTATAAGTTTTATTAAAAGTTATATGGTTTAAAAGTTTTATTAAGTTTTATATATAATTTCATTTATTATTAATGTGTTTATCTTTATTATATTATAATATAAATATAATATATTTATTATTAATAAGAAAATGTATTCAATTTTTTATTTAATTTTAGTTTAGTTTTAATATATGTATATAGAAAAATAATAATATTATATGTATAATATCACAATTTTGATTATAATTTTATTTTTTGTTTATTATTTATTTGTTTATTGTTATATTTAACATTTAATTTTTCTTTAGATCGTCTATCTAAAAGTATTAAAGGTTTTAATAATTACAATTTTTTCTACGAATGTTTTTACGAAAGTCAATCGTCATTCACTGATGAAATAAACTCAATTGTTGATGAACTAAATAAACCATGGTTTGATGGTTGGAAGTTTGGTTTTGGTTTGACGATTTCGATTGACGATGGAAAAACTTCTTACGCAACTTCTTGCGATAATTATTTCGTAAATTATTACATAAAATCTGGAAGAAAGTTAGATTGGTTAGATGTTAATAAAAATATTTTAAGTGATGAAGAAAAAAATCTTTTAATTCGATGTTCAACTAATGTTCGCGGTGTCAGGTTTTATCGTCCAATTAATTTCGAAGGATGGAAACCGAAAGATAAGATTGAAGAGTTGACGATATGGATCTCACATTATTTAATAACAAAAAAAGATTTTGAAGAAAATTTTCTTCCTTGGATTAATCTTTGTGAAGTTTTAGATCTTTCACTTCACGACGACATTGATTTCATTAAAGACATTTGTGAATGGATTCGTTGTTCGAACATCAAGGAAAATAAGATCGAGTACCGTGGAAAATATTTTTGTAACCTCGATAAATTAACTTTATCACGCGGAAAAATGTTTAATATTTTAAATATATAAAATAAAAACAATAATTATAAAATACTAAATGAAATATTTAATTTATTTTTAAATAATAAAAATAATAAAAAATTAAATTATTTAGTTTATTTTTTTATAAATATATTTGCTTTAAATATACGAAATAATTTATATATATTGGATTTAAATAAAAAAGTTCATTATTATATTATAATATTATTCATATTTATAATTAGTTCTTTTTAAAATAAATTAATTAAAATAGTAATTACATAAACTATTAAATATATAATTGTATTTGTGGTACATAGTTTTTCATAATTATTATTTTTTTAACATTTTTAGTAATAATAATAACATTAAACTATAAATAATAATAATCGATTTTAATCTTTGTTTAAATATATAATTTTTTTTTATAAACTTTTTTTTTATATTTTTATAATTATATCATGAATTTTGATCATTTTGATTATAATATTAATATATTTTTTCTTTTGTTACTATAAATATTAAAATATAATTAATATCAAAAAGTGTTAATTATATAAAATACTAAAATTAGATTAAATATACTTTTACGGTAATTACTTTTTTTCTTATTAAATTAATAATAAATATTTTTTGACAATACTTTTTCTTTTTTTACTTCAATATTTCTTTATTATATTCAACCTTCGTTATAATACATGATGTTTACGATAAACTCATGAGTTTTCAGGTTTATTGAAAGTTGATGAAATTTAATTTTATATTAAAAAAAAAAAATTATATTCTGCACACAATCACATTTATGCTAATATCAATTATTTTTGAAGTTTAAAGCATTCGCCATTTTTATTTAAGATTTTCGTTGACAACGAAACAAAAAAATTCGAAACTTTGCAGAATTTTTTTTTGGAGTTTTTTTGTTCGAAAGTTAAATTCGTATAACTTTTGCTTAATAGTAAATCAGACATTAAGTTTTATTTCGATTAAACTTTTTTATATATTAATTATTTTAAAAAATTAAATTTTACTTAAAAAATTTTAAAGTTTCTTATATTTATTTATATATATTAAAATGCTAATAGTCATGAAGGCAGAACACATCGGTTTTTTGCAAATGTAAAAATGCCAGAGCATTAAACAAGTTTAGAACAGTTGACAACTTCGTCCAAAGATAATAAACATAATAATAATTTTAAAATTGATATATTCGATAATAACTTTAAGTAATAATTTAAGTATATTAAAATGTCCGTACTTTTGTACTAAAATTGATGCGGATATTATAACTTTTTTTACTGATAGTTCCGCTGGTTTTAGAATTACTTATATTGCTAAAACTAATTCAAATATTAAAGCCAGCAATATCGTCAGTATAAAAAAAGAGCAAAACCGCCTCAATTTTACTGCAGGGGTACTGTCATTTTTCATTACTTAAATAGGACATATGCTTTTAAAAGTCTTTATTTGTATAAATAGTCACGTCCTATTTCTTCTAGTGCGTTTTTGAAACAATGTTTAACCTGCACCAATCTATAATTAATTTTATAAAGAAGTTCCATATGCCTTTCCGTGGCTGATAATTTTTAACTCAAATAAAACTAACAGTTATCACAACAATCAAGATCTTTCTAAAATTATTAACGGCAATGTACATCTTTGTTTGGCCTTTAAGCAGTGGCTTGGCGACAAAAAATAGGCCTTCCCTTGAAATTTTAATCCTAAATTATTTTTCTCTCCCCTCCCCCTCAAAACAAAAAAAAATTATATATGAAAACAAAAAGCGTTATTTTCAAATACAATTTTGATTTAAGTTAATTGAAACAAGTATGTTACATATTGTATAGCTAAGAATTTCTAATTCTTAGATATACAATAAAAGTAAAAATCTTATTAAATGTATTTGAAAAATTTGGCTTAGGCCCCTAATAAGTCTGGGCCCTCCTACGGCTGCGGGCCCATCGGTACGTTTCTGTCTTTAAGATAAAAAAATTATTTCCGATATTCTTGGAAACCGCAAATCAAATCCATGGCAACATAAGCATCTGATAGGGTTGCATCTCTTTATCGTGCTCGCCACTTTCTTATTTAGGAATCTATTCTTTATCTCAATAAATCTCAATGCCTATTTTCTTTTAGGTAAGGTGCACAAACGCATTGTAAACATAGTCAGACCCGTTCTTGCAGCAAATTTTTGTATTAAATGTAAGTAGTTTTAAAAAATCTATTTAAATCTTTACTCTAAAATTAAATTTTTTTAAATTTCTTTACATAGAGTTTTCCTAATTTAAATTTGGTAGTGATTTTTTTAGACAATTTTTTGTCGTATAAGAATGGTCATGAATTCAATATAAATTTTATAAATAAATATTTACACGAAAAATTATGGTCCAAAAATGGGTAACTATTAAATTTGGATAATCTTCAACCATGAAAGACATTCTTGTTTTTGTTACATACAAAACAAACAAATAATGCTATAAAAAACAAATCAACGCTATATAATATCGCAACAAAGAGTTATAATATCACAACACAGAGTTATAATATCACAACACAGTTTTATAATATCACAACACAGAGTTATAAAATGATGTGGCACCAGCTTTTAATTGTATTTAGTCGTAAAAAGTATATTTTATATTAAACCCATAAAAGTTTTGTAATCTGTGCTCTTTGAAGGGTTTTTTTGACAATTGTTGATGCGGGGGAGGGGGAGGTCAATTAAAGTTGACGTCAGAAATTTTTTTTTTTTTATGAGTTTTATTGCTTTAATAACGAAAAATTAGGCTGAGCTTGTTGCGTAGTTTCTTTGTATAGGAGGGGGAAGGGGGGATTCAAAATTTGACATAATATTATATTACTTTAAAAGTTTTGTGCAAAGACAAAGTTCAGCAGTTTGTCAAAAGGATGTTTTAGTAAACTGCAAGAAAAACATTCTGTTCAAGTTTCAGTATTTGAACCTCTGTTGAAGTTTTTACATGCACGCAAATAGTCACTCTGGGTTTCAAAAGACTAATTTGTTTTCGCTCAGCTAGATGGAAATCGAGTGACAATAAAAATAAAGCAAATCAGGCTAGGAAACAAGGTAATCTTGACGTAAATTTGACCTTGATGATGAGCAGCAGATAAATCTTTTAACAACACGATCTCCAACAACAACAGAAGTAGCAAACTAAGTCAAGTATAAAAGTGTCCTAATGTTTTTAGAAAAGTTTAAGCAAGTCAAAAAAGTGATAGATATCAAACCGAAAGTTCCAAATACAAGGTTTGGCTTTGTCATACATCTTATATTTGAGTTGAGTTGTCACTGGCGCGGCATTAAAAAGTGCCGCGCAAGTGACAACTCAACTCAACCTCCAAAACCTCTTAAAGATTTAACATCATCACATAAATAAAATTATTTTTTTATTTTTTTTTAATTTTGTTATTGGTTGATTTTTAATTAACATAAATGGTTGTATTTTTTAAATTAAGTATTTTTTTGATAACCCATTTATTTGCACATTTCATTCCTCCCAAACAGGAGTGTATATTGAAATATGCAGCCGTAGAATAGAATGAAAAAGGAGGAGTCGAAGTGCAGTGGTTAGTACGCTAGCCTCAGAAATAGAGATCCGTTATTCAACGCCACCTCTGGGCAAGTTATATAGCATCGATAAGGAAAGAAGCGTTCTTTTAAATGCTTTTCTGTGATAAGACCGAAAGATTTATTGGGCACCTAAATAAAAAAAATAATTAAAAAATTTTTTTTTTTTCCAAATAAATCAAGTTTCTTAAAAAACTTTTTTGAAAATAAATTTGATTTTTATATTTAAATACAATTCAAAAGTCTTTACAACTTGAAAAAAAAAAAATTGAAATCTTTTTACCGTGATAAATAAAAACTTATTTGACCCGCTTTTACTCTTTAATCTTTTTTAATCTTTAGAAGGTTTTGGAGGTTGAATTGAGTTGTCACTTGCACGGCACTTTTTAATGCAATAAAACTCAGTGTTTTTATACATTTCTTTGGAATAGATGTATGACAAAAAAAAAAAGCAATTTCAAACTTACTTGGCAAATTGTGTGAGAAATCATGGTAAACTAAAAATAAATCAGGCGCATTTATTAATGTAACTTTAAGTTAATCAGACAGAGAATCTTCTCAGATTAACTTAAAATACCAAAATAACGACGAGATTTATAAGAGGGGGGGGGGGGGGAATGGTGTAAACAACTATTGCCCGACATCTGTTTTTTCTATTAAACTAAACACCTTCAAGAAAAAACAGAGTTGCTGCATGGTTTAAAATCCCCAACCATTCTCTTGCGTTATAACCATATAAATTATCTAGTTTACAATCATTTTAGTAAAAAATAAGTTACTGAAATGAAATCTATGGTAAGTTTCCTTTTCTGAAAAAGTTATGAATAAAATATATGTTCTGCAAGACAAACAATTAGGTTGCTTAAAGAGAAAGCACTACTTTTCTAAGTGTGAACTACAAACAATATTTTAAAATATGTTTAAGGTAAAGAAATAAAATTCATTTTGAAAAAAAATTAAGATTTGTTCAGGAATCAGTCATGTGTAAAAACGTCTTGGTACTCGCCTCAGAAATCTTGTTTATTTAAATAAAAAGACTGCATAAAAAAAGTAAACTTACAGAATCAGTAATAAACTCTCTCCAAAACTATAATGGTTTACCAATTAGAAACAATATTCATAGTTTGTATGCTATAAAGAAAGCAGTTTGGGCAATATCTTTTCACGGCGCGAAACTTGATGATCAAGAATACCAACATAAAATTATATATTGGTGAAAGGGTGAAATCTGTTTTAAGTTACTTTGGAATGTTAGGATCAGTGACTTTTTCAAAACTAGTTTTAAAAGACCAAAAGCGAATTGTAAACAAACGTCGTTAATCAACTTCTGTATGCAAAAAGTGAAGAAAAAAAGATCTTTTCATAAGTAATACTTAGATACTGAAAAAACAGATTCTTATAGCTCTGGTAACTTTTAAGGAATGTTTATACTATAAATATTCCTTAAAAGCTACCAAAGCTATATCATATAATCTGTCATATTAAACTGTTTATATTGG